TTTTTATTTTACAATTATACAATATACTGTGATTGTTAGGAGAATTTACTATTTTATTTTTTTTTTTTTATTTGTATTTATTGTAAATTACAAAATATTTATGATGTGAAACCTGATGACTCAAAACCAAAAACCACTCATACACCAAATACGTACAACAAAAACGTAACAAGTGACAACAAATTACACCATTAAATCCGAGCTTATGACGAAATGACGAATTATTTTTTTCTTTGGCTAATAATATTTCGACTAAAAAAGTTTTTTTTTTTTATTCTACGATTATTTTATTTATCAAGTTATAAATTCATCACATTACTTTATTGTGAATAAATTGGGAACAAATTGGAATAAATGTGGATATAAATGCTTATTTATTATTCACATTATTTACGTAATGTTGTTTTTATGATTATTACAAATTCTGCGGATATAAATGTTTATTTTTTTATTCATGTAATTCATGTAATGATTATTACAAAATCTATATTTAAAATTTTTATTTCTTTTTTAATTATTAACTAATTATTTTTGAAAAAAAACGTACATATCGTATAAGGAAATAAAAAAAAAGGGAAAACCGTAAAAGGAAAAAATTACAGATAACAATTAATAAAATGTTTCAGCTCTTTTATTATGATTTCTGACCGTTTGTTATTGTACCATAAGTAGGGCGGGAAATTCCGTGTAATGCAAATGCAGTTTCAGTTTCAGGTGACTATCCGAGTGACTTAGTTCATTACAATTTCCTAATTAGGGATATTAATATCATTTTACTATTAAGAGTTTTTCCCAAAATATTAGCTAAAATATGTATATTACATTTTTAGAATAAGAAAATTTTTTCATTCACGCTTATTATTATTATTATTATTATTAGGATTGGTTTCAATTTTATTAATTTTATTAATTTTATTAATAGTATAAAGTACATTGATACATAATATACAGCCATTTGATCGGTCAGATTGTACCACGAACTTATCTAACTTATCTACATGTCAATTATCTAAGATAGAAAAGCGAACCAAGTTATACACAGACAATTAAATTTGTAAGCGAAACATAAAAGTTATTTTAGCTAAATTAAATTGGCTGAAGATATAATTATTACTAAATTCAGTTTTGTTTAAATTTCATCAAAAACTTATGGAAGAAAGGCAAATTTTCTTACAATGAAATTGATTGTCGCACGAATTTGCATTTGCATTTGCATAACCTAAATTTTAGTTCTTTATTTAACTAATATGTACATAAACAAAGATGAGAAAAAACAATGAGGTAATGAGTGATGACTTAAAGATGGCTTTGGTAATATTTGAAACGTTAAGTAATTAAATCATCTGAATTAAACGTAATCAACAATAAGGTGTTAGTACAACTTCCAAATATTAAAAAATGATTTACGGTTACAAATCGAGAAAATCGTTTTACGAGCAAATTTATAATAAAAATGTACATTATCATGATTTCTGGTACATTCATATACGAAGAAAATTAATACCGGACTTATTAAGTTGAATTTCAATCCCTCACATGACCAGTTAATGTTATCAAAGCGAATAACATCATGAAGACCTAAGCACCGAAAATCATACATTGAGAATGATAATTTTACTAAAAAAATATAAAAGATATTGCAAACTATTGACCTGTAAATTATGCATATTATTGAGGAACCTCTAATTTTTATAATAAGGCTATTCCAAATAAAAAAAATATAATAAAAAAGAGATGTGAAAACTTAATAATCATCAAAAATGTTAACTAGTTAAAATTGAGATATTCAATGCAGCAAAACATGATATAACTTAACTTTTTGGTAATAGTGACTTCATAACTTACATTCTTGTTCTCATAGTGCCATATTTGTAAATATTCTAAACTTATTCTGCCTTTTTTTCCTTTTTTTTGTTGTCATTATCCGCCTTTAATGAGAAAGTAAATTGCGTGTCACTGGAAATCCAGATCTTTGGTATATTGTAGATGACGCTAAAATATATTGATATAATTGATGCACTCGATTATTACAGATAAGTTAGTTGTACATACCATTGAGCCGATTGAGGTTTGTTTCCGCATCGATCATCCCAATAAAGAAAATTAATATAAAACAAAGGAGGAAGGTCACAGGGTCTGGGCAATGTCTGGGCACAATAAATGAGGTAAAAGTTTTAAATTAAAGTTAAAAAAAAAAAAAAAAAAAAAATAAGGTCATATGTCGATTAAACATTCCCTTTTGAGATATCCATTTAGTATGACCTTTCAGGAAAGCATGATGCTTGTTAAAGTAGTATAGTTCTGAATTGAAAGGAGATTAATAATTGCAAAAAAAAAAAAAAAATTTTACTATGACGTTTCGTCAAATATAACTGAAAGTGAATAGTATAAACCTTAATAAAAAATAAAATCCTGCAGAATTTCGGATATAATATCGGCAAATTTTCGGATTGCTGCGAAGACAGACATATAGTCACATGTCGAAAGCTTTACTTAGAAATAAAGTATCAATATATTCGGAGAATACAGTGACATAATTTATATTTTATATTGAATCATAGTTTGTCGAATCATACCAAGTTTCTCAAGAAGTGATGTTTCGTTATTTTTTGAAATCTACTATAAGTGAAGGTTTGAATTTAATTTTTTAAAGGAAGACATTTTAGTAATAAAGAACAGATATGATGATCCATAATAATAATAATTTAAAAATTATTAGATATTATATAACAAGCGTTAAAAATATACTTGATTTTTCTTTCAAAATGAAATTGAATCAAATCTTGTGGTCTTTTTTTAGTATACGCCCTTTCTCCAACAAAGAAAAACTAGTAAAAAATAGTAAAGAAAAAAAAAATATTCGAAAGAGGTGAAGCAAAATCGTAGTAACCGTACATTTAAGAAAAAAACCAAAAAAAATGGGGAAATGGGGGAAATTTTATTTTGGTAATGCCAAAAAGAGATTTTATTGTTTATATTTACGAGCAGATCTCTATACATATAAGCATATAAAGTTCGCTTTGGTTCACCACATACACCACATTGGAGGCCGCGTAAATAAATCGGGTAAGTATTTTTTTTATATATATATTTTTTTATATATATACATATATATATACATATACATATATAATGTATACATAAATATATATATATATATATAAATATAAATATATACATATAATATACATATATAATGTATACATAAATATATACAGTATATATACATATATTAAATGTATACATAAATATATATATATTTTTTTTTTTAAAAAAAAAAGTTTAACTTAAACTATAATTTGTTTATGAATTATTTAAATCAATGCCCTCCATTTTTTATTTAAATGCGCGGGAACTTTTAAAAAAAGAAATATATATTTGCAGTAATTGGGTAAAAGTCATTGTTTCTTGGAAAATTTGGCACACCCTTTATTTTATCAACAATTTTAATAAATTTAATTAAAATTTCCTTTCATCCTTCATTCATTCAAAAAATCGATTATCAATTACCAGAATTGATTATTGTTATTATTGAACTTTTATATTAACGAAATAAAAAAAAAAATTTCCCTAAAACATATATTTTTGATAACGCAGGGATTGACAAAATTTTTAATTATGTAGCACAACTTTTTTGTTTTTGTAAAGGAGAAATTTCATGTAAAAAGAAAAAGGCGCGTAACTTTATCCTAACCTTTTCACCAATAAGAATTTAGGGTCAAGAGGATTATGGGCGTAAGGACCTGAGGCAAGCGCAAGGCAAAAAATTAATTGAACTTTATATCTGATATGGAAAAAATGGGTATAAATTTGCGATACGATTGTTACAAAGAACATTTCTTCAATTTCCTAAATAAAATTCCTTTTATTGTGATAATTTTTTACAATAAAACTTTAATATTTACATTGTAATTATTATAATTTTTAAAAAAGGACAATATTTTCTTTCCGATTCATTTATATAATGTAAAAAGAAACTACTTAACAATAATTGGTCCGAAAATGGACGCACAAAAGATTTATCATGAATTTCTTTGGAGATTTGCCGATAAAAAGCTTTAACCATACTCTGATATAAAATACTACAATATAACCGCAATAATGAAAACATGCGAGTGCCGAATTAATGATGAATTGTGATTATTTGTAACACACGTTAATGATATACTGTATATATAGTATTTTAAAAATATATTTGATATACAGTATTTGTTGTCAAAATGGCATTATTTATTATTCATGCGATAAATAATTTTTTTTTTCGATTTGATCAATTGAATTAATCGATAAAAATAAAAAAAGAAAACTAGAAATTTTTCTTTAATTATCATAAAAAAAAAAAAAAAAAAAAAAAAGTTCTAAGATTAGACAAACAGGTTTTTTTTTTGTTATTATTTTATTTACATCATTAATTATGAATATGAATTCCGGTTGCAATAATTGCAAATTAAAATTACTGTATATACAAAAAAGCATGTATTACAAATACTCGCTCATCTTTAAAAGAACAATATAAATTTTTTTAACAAAGAAAAAAAGATAAAATAAAACAATTAGTAATGAATGCTCTAAAAAAAGAACGGTTTTTAAAAATAAGCAATTCACTTTTTAAATAAAATAATACAAGGAAATCTTCCCAGGAAATCTTCCCGGAAATCTTTTAAGGAACTTTGATGATTCGATTTAAAATAAAAATCATACAAAAGTTCAATTTTTCGAACATTATAATAACACAATTAAATTCTTGTATAGATTTTTTTTAGAAGGCATAATTTTTAAATTACTAAAAGAAGAAAATAATAATCTATTTCAATTTATCATCGCATTATGCCTTTTAAGACCTAACTGCGACTTATGGTCGTCATATGAACCTGATGACACAATTCTTCACTAGACCTTATGATGATAAATTTTTTTATCGCGCTATTCTTTGTTCCTTTAAACTAAACTATTTTTAATATTAAATATGATGTTATATTATTATTCATGTTTTCACTAATATTGTCTTTTCGCGCGATCGGTCAAACTCCGAATTGTGTGTATCATTGCTAATACCAATCAATTGAATTTTTTTTTGGTGGTGTCACCCGTTACACTTATTACATTTATTTGAAAAATGAAAAAGGAAAGAACCGTTAATTTATGGAATTGAAATTCCGTTTTCGTTGTCTTGAAATAATAACTTATTTAAAAAAATGTGACCGAATTTTAAAACAAAGAATTTTTTTTTTTTTATTAATAGATTTATTTATAATAGAAATTTCTAGAGATACTTTTTTTTTTTTATTGTTATTTTTTATTTTTATTAATATTATTAATAAAAATACGAATTTTTTTTTTTTTTTATTTTTTATTTTTTATTAAATTAGGTTGTAAATGAGTGAATAAAAACTAATTGGGTTTAAGGTTAATTTTTTTTTTTTTACGGGATTAGGTCACTAATGTTACACCAATAGCTATAATAGATTAGTATCAAATACACGAGGTAAGACAAAGAAAATAGTATAACAAGTATTTTTAATAAACGTGCTATAAAAAATGCCCAAAATGTTAAAAATTCTAAATTTCTTCTTATTATTTAACGGACTTTCTTGCACAAAATATAATTTTTTTTTTTTTTTAAAAAAAAAATGGGTGTTAATACTGAATAGTGAACAAATACAGACAAAAAGCTCGAAACATACTATACTGGACAACTATTTCAAAAAAAATTGTTTCATCAAAAAAATATTAATACTGCTACTGTAATTATACTAGAAACATTAGCGAGCAACGCTAAGAGAATAGTATAATTCTCTGGTATTGCGAAACCTTCTTTAAGCGAAAAACGCCTTTGGTCAGATTAGGAAAGTTGTATGCAGAGGTGATACAAATCACGAGTTTTTTATTGCATTGTCAAAATGTCGTTAATATGGATATTTATGAGGAATAAACGTTTTATGATGATGTAGTATAGATCCATTCCATCAATATCATGTATGTATATTGTATACACAGGTGGATTACAAAGTTCAAACGACAAAGAGAACCTCCTTTGCATGTTGAGAGAAGCGTTTTAGTTTATGGTACCCGTAGTTTTCTGAGGAGTGACAAAAGATATATCTGTCGAACCGCTTTTATTATGGTGGAGATACATTCATTAAACCAATTGTGAAGAACTGTCCTTAATATCAAAGTTTTGACAATGATTTGACGATAACATTATGAATCAATAATAATACCAACTTTTTAAGGGTGGATCAAAATGTATTACGTGAACACTTATGAAGCAATTAGACTATAAGACTAATCCATTAGTGGCTAATAGTATTTACATATTATCTTGTACGGCTGATCAGATTGCATCATCAATCAAAGTTTCTGGTTATTTGTCTGAATAGTTGTTTTGCTTCAAGTCTATTTATGGTACTTAGTACAAGGTCAGATAATTTATGGTAGTTAAAAACTTGTGAAATCAAAAAAAACAATGGGATGTGGAGACAAATTGGTTTATGTGTAACAGGTAACTTTTGATCCTGATGATTCTCCATTTACTGTACAATCCTGAAGGTTTCATTAAGGTATCAGATATGATTTTTATTGTGAAAGTAAAGTATGCATTAAAGATAGTTTACCTGTTCCACTGGTTCTTCTGAAGATATAATTAAATTACGCTACGTCCAATAGCACTTTCAAACAATAACGATATTATTTCTCCTGGCCAAGTAACGCTTCAAACAATAAACTGAAAGGTAAATATGATTAAGATCTAATATATCAAGTAGTTATCATGGTTCGTTTAATACAATTGTCAACTATAGGTCAGCTAATATTCATCCTCTTCCACAACGAAACTATAAGTAAGGATTAAAGAAAATTGGGCGATAACATCACAATTAAAGGTGGTCTTACGTTCCCGTCGGTCCCACTCGGTCCTGAGCGGTCTTTGGAATATTTGGAAAAGTAACAGCAACTGCGCCTTAAAACTTTGTGGTACTGTAGAACAGATTGAGGACTAATAAACAGCAAATTTTGGTCTTGATCCAATAAACCGTGCAGCGTCTAAGGAATAAAATGCCATGTTTCCCGGTCTTTTATGATTTTTACCAGTAATGATCTTAGGAAAAGTAGGATCAAGCCACTTTGCGGTCTTTCACTGTGCTACAAAATTTCAAGAGTACAAATATTGTTATTTTCCCAAAGACCGGCCTGAATAAAAAAGACCGAAAAGCTACTGATTATCTTTAATCATAATGTTTATTTGATTTAATATTATTAATTATCCATCAAATATACAAGAAGTTTTAATATGTGGGTAACTATGTTCGTTTCTATTAAAAAATTTACGTGAGTGCATATAAGAATTGATGCTCTTCATCAAGGACACATTTATGGCGTGATTTATCAGATAAAGAAAGTAGATTATTAAGCCTATATACTGTAATCCTGCTGCTGCATTAAAATGTCTTTGTTTTTTTTATTGAGCGTAATTTTTGCTGCAATTGTAATCAAGTTTCATAGTATTCTAGTGATAGATCCATCATCGCGTATAATTAATTTAATTAAAGTCAATTAGTAGATGCAGCTTGATACCTTTTATCAATTTAACATCATTTAAGTTGTCTTACAAAATTAAAATTTATAAAAATGGAATTCTATTTAAAAAACCATTATTACAAGAGTCATAAATCTTTTAAATCATCATTTGAATTTACATATATAGGACTAAGGGAATTATTAGTATTTTTTTATAATAACTTACTTATCTTCATTTTATATTTATTCAGAATGAAATTTTTTAGTTGTAAAAAATCTATTTTTTGCAATTAATATTATATATCATAATAAATAAATTTACTTTATAAATAAATTACATATATGCTTACAATTAACTATTAGAAGTAATACTAATCAAACTCAAATTTTTTAACTAAAAGTTGAAAAATTCTATATTTCTACCAATATTAATCTATTTAAAATGATTTTATTACTATTTGATTTATTTTTATTAAAATAAATTTAATAATTTATTTGAATATTTTGTTGATCCCTAATTGTTAAAATATTATTTGTTTAATTTATTATTATTAAAAATTTTAAAGATGTTTTTTTTTGATTAATTTTTTGCAAATTATCTAATATAATAAATAATTTATTATTATACAATACAATAAACATATGTTATAAAGAAAATTTATATAATACTCATCATATTATTAACAACTAATTAAATATAATTTATTAATAAATAAATCTTATTCTTATATATAAAAATATCCTAAAAATTATGATTTTTTTTAAACAATACTAAAAAAACTCGAATCTGATTTTATATAAACTTTATAATAAATTCTAGTTTCAAATATATAAAATTATATTAACTTTTTGGTTTTAAATTTTACTATTTTGAAAACCAGTGATTAGATTTTAATAATTTTAAACTTATTAGATTTTTTTATTAAAATAAATATTTTGATATTTATTTTTATCTTTATAGGTATAATATTATTAATCAAGGTATTTCATTTTAAAATTTTATTATATGAAATCTGAATTATCTTAATATTATTTAGGATTTTTTTTTTATCAATCATATAATACTTATATTATAAGTATATACTGTATTTATCCAAAAATAAGCAACAACTTTTTTGCATGTAATGCAAGCCAAGATTTAGTAATGTACTAATGTAAACCAAAAATACTATCATATCTGCCGATTTGCAGAATTTGCCGATCATCAGTTATGTGGCACAGTACCAATTAAAATCGATCAAAACCCGTTCCTACATAAGAAAAAATATCAAAAAATATATAAAAAAACTTTTAAGACCTCTTCCAAAATATTTGCCTCTTTAACCCGAAGCCAGTAGAAGGAGTTTCTAGAAAAAAAAGGAAAAAAATATTATAAAGTTAGTTTATTAAAAAAAACAAAAAAAAACTTTACAAAATTCAGAATATTTAATGATTTAACGAAAAAAAATTAACTGAAAAATAATTAATAATAAATATCAAATAAATTTTAATTAAACAACTAATCAATACATAATCTAAATTCACTAAAACATTGTTATTAATATTTAGAGGTATTTATTTATTGAAAAGATTTTTTTTGAATAATTTTGCTTTCTAAATAAATTTTTCTATAAACTATAAAAAAAAAATAAAAAAACAGCTTCAAGTTGTATCTAATATAAAATAATTACAAATATACTTGCAAAAATTCTCAACTTACTTGATGTAAAAACTGTTTGAAAAGTTGATGGGGAAGTTGATGGAAAGTTTAATAGGGAGTTTACGTTTACGAAAGAAAAAAATTTTTTTAATGCTACTTTTTATTGAAGTAATTTCTTAATATCTGTCATATGATCATGTAAAACAAGAGTGATCATTTTTGCAAAACTTAATTTACCTAATTTTTATTAAATTATTGTCAAATTCCTTAATTTAGACGAATTTTATTAATTCTGCAGATCGGTGGATATGTAATTTTGTTTATATTATTTATTTTCAGAAGTTGCTTATTTTTTGATAAATATGATATACTGTATACTTCTGATATTAAGCACCCCTGAAAATAAGCACCCCTGGCCAGAATTATGAAAATTTTGGGCTACGTTATGCTGTTGCTGGCCAGCATTACGGTCAAAAAAGGTGCTTAATTTCAGAAGTATATGGTATATAATAATATTATTAATTGTATAAAATTAACAAAAAATATAAGTATTAAAAAAATCTAAATAATTAGTAAAAATTATTAAAAATTATTTTATTTAATATTTAAATTAATAAGAATTTGCTATTAAAATCTTATATAATCAATTCTTTTATAAGTATCTTCTATATAAGAATTCTTCTTTATAAAGCACATATTTTTGGTTCTGATTTTTTTATATATAAAATACTTCTTTTATAATCATTTTATTAGTTATAAGTACAATTACACCAATTGTTAATTCTGTATTATAATAAATAAATATAAAATTCCTCTGCATAAATATATAAACTACATAATTTTATAAAATAACCAATAAGATATGTGTTATATAATCTGCACTTTGAATTTAATGTTAGGAAAAGTTTTTATTTTCAAAATTTCCATAATATTTTTAATAGTAAATAATTTTAAGTATATTTTACATTATGAAATATTTTGTAATATTTACATACATAGTCATATTTATTTATATATGAAAATACTGAATTAATACCCTTACTAATATGCATATCTTATTATAATCACACTATTGAGTAGTTCTGAAGAGTATGACAAAAAAGTTTAAATAAAAAAAATCTAAAATATAAAACTAATAATTTTAAATTTTACAAATAACTTAATTAAAATTGATATTATTAATTACTATTTTTAAATTTTGTATGTTTTATTATATAATAAAATGACAAATTGATAAAAAAAATAATTTGTATAAATTAATATTATTAATATTATTAAATTAGTAATAATATATTTTTTAAAACAATAAATACTTATTTATATATAAAATTTTTTTTTTATTTAATTTACAGTCTAACCTCAATATACCAATATTCGATATACTGATATACTATTAAAAATTTGATATACTGATAAAATTTTATTTTCCTACAATATGTAAGGACATATAAATATCGGTATAACTTTAATATAACAATACTTCCTAAAAATTTTATATATGCATAATATATCATTATAAAAAGATTTGACTGTATATTGAAAATAGATTTTATATTTCTAGAAATATTTAAAATTTAAAAAAAAATATTTTTAAAAAACTTACTAAATTGAAATTTAAACTGTTTTTATAAAAAAAAATAAAAAAATATATTGTAAAAAAAATTAATTTTGTAAAACATACTAAAATTCTATTATAAATAATTAAAACTTATAGTTAGTTTTACAAAAACCAGAATTAGTTTAAATCAAATCAAATAAGACTAAAAATAATATTTTTAAAAATCTTTAAAAATCCATAGATCCTTAAAAATTTTATAAAATTTTTTTAAAAATAGAAATGATTTTTTAAAAATCCTTACAAATTTAATTAAAGAAAATCTTTAAAAATTCTAATTTTTAAAATATTACTAATATTAAATTTATTATTTGAAATAAACTTTTTTTATAAATTCAGAATTTTAGATTTTTATTTTTTTTAAATTTAGTTCATAATTGATTTATAAATTTTCCAAAAATTAATTTTGCTAATTTTTTTTTAATTATTACTTATTTGTAAAAGTTATTTTTTCTATATGAATTTAATAGGACCCCGGACATCACATATATAACTCACATTTGAGTTTTAGCAAATTCAATCAAAATTAGGTTAAACTTATAATTTTAGATAGA